AAAGTATTCGAGTCCGTTGTGTATCATTATATCTACTTTCATGTGAACTCATCACTCGTGGATCAGCAACATGGTTTTGTGAAAGGTAAATCTACTGTATCAAACCTACTCGAATATAAAACGTACCTGTGTTCAGCTTTTGCTAAAGCTGGACAAGTGGATACAATAATCACCGGTTTCCGGAAAGCCTTCGACAAAGTAAACCATAAGCTGCTTTGTCGTAAGCTCTCATGGTACGGAGTTCATGGTAGTCTTTTAAGATGGGTGAGTTCGTATTTGATGAATCGCAGTCAGCTGGTTGCCGTCAAGGGTCTCAAATCCAGTGCTATCCAAATCAAATCTGGAGTGCCCCAGGGTTCTCACCTGGGACCATTATTTTTCACAATTTTTACAAATGACTTGGTCACTAAGTTAACCTGCCCTTGTCTCCTGTATGCCGATGATCTTAAAGTATTTAACAAGGTAGAGAACAGTAGTGACTGCGTTTCTTTGCAGAGGGATGCTACCACGATTGCGGAATGGTGCAAACAGAACTGCATATACCTACACGTCGATAAATGTTTTATTATGTCCTTTACTAACAAGCGACACAAAGTATATTTTGATTACGTTATCGAGGGTGCATCACTTCAGAGAAAGTCGGTTGTTAAAGACTTGGGCGTGTACTTTGATGAGAAGCTTACTTTTAGGGACCATTATAATTTTCTAGTATCAAAAACTTGCAAAATGTTAGGACTTGTCACTAGAACTACTAAAGAATTTAAACTTTACTAATTGCACAAAACAAACTTATTGCACTGTTTAATACCTTAATTAGAAGCACTCTTGAGTATGCCTGTGTCGTATGGTCACCTTTCTACGAGGTTCACTCTAAACGTTTGGAAGGCGTACAGAACAGAGCTCTCAAAATAGTAAGTTACAGATCACACATGGGTCGCAAATTGTCGCGTTACGAAGAGAGGTTATCACATTTTAAGGTTATGTCCTTGAATTCTAGACGTAGGGTATAAGATCTTCTACATTTACATAAACTACTTCAAGGCAGCCTGAAATCCTCAACGCTTCTGTCCCATATTAATTTTAACATCAAGTGCAATCCACGACGCCTTCCTAGACCATTCGTATTGAATGTTTATACTAATAATGTTTCTTTTTACAACCCTTTGACGAGAATGTGTCGGGCCTACAACGACCTTATGGCTGATCCTGGCAATGATTTAGGGATGGATATATTTGATGGTAATGTTAAAAGACTTCGCAATCGAATCCACAACCACCACGGTTTCTCTCTTTCATAGTTATAGCCATAGTAATTCTATTTTATTTAAGATTACAGTTTTATTTATGCCTAAGTATTTTATATTAATTTACAAACAATTTATATTTCAAACAAAATTGTTTACTCATGATTGGTCATGCTGTATGTACATGTTTAGGTTTACATTCTAGAGTAGAACTTACTAGTACATTGCTAAATGTTTAAGCTTTTGTTAAGGAGTGAATTTAAACTGTTTTGTACATCTAATAAATAAATTTAAAAAAAAATTTAAAAAAAAAACAATGAATAGTATTAAAAACAATAATAATTTGTGTACCTTATCCAATCAGGTATACCTCTTCCTACGTCCATTTCGGTACTGTTATCGTGTAATGATTCACATATTTATAAGTATTTATGTAACTTTATTGTAGAAAACAATATAAAAATTTAGACAGTTCCTATAACATTAATATAATATTATTATTATTATTTATTGTCTGATCTACAAATTTCCTAACATGAAATTCCTCTCCCGATCCGTTTTTTTCCTAAATCCGTTTCCAAAATTCCTTAACATACGAAAAGGTTTCCCTGTTTTTAAATGAAGTTAATTTATCTTGTCATTGGCTTCAACGCTGACCGCGAAAGGCCAAAAAAGAAGAAAAAAAAAATTTTTGTCTAAAACTTGACATGTTTTCCTAAAAAATAAAAACAAAACAAGTGCTAGCTAGCGAGAGCGGCAGTCGTTGGACATGAATAATCTCAATATAGAGTACTAAAAAAACTAACTTTTGAGGTCAGCGGAATTACATATATGTATTTGCCAAGTTTTATTGAAATCGGTTACCGGAAAATGCGCGAAACCGGATTCATCCCCTAGTTTTCCACCCTTAGAGGTGTAATATTTCCTTCAAATTTAAATGGGACCACAACTGAGGTACCCTCTTTCCAACAAAAAACGAACTAAATCGGTTCACAAATTATAAGTTATCGAGTGACATACATACAAAAAAAACAGTCGAATTGAATACCTCCTCCTTCTTTTGAAGTAGATTAAAAATGCTAATGGCCAGCGTTATATTCTAACATTGTTTCAAGTAGTTCATATTATTTTTAAGTGCTTTATGTGAGAAAAGCAGCTTTTGATGTATGGTCACATGTGGCTTTATTTTACCAACCCCAAATAACAATAACTTTTCGAAAACAGTACTTGTGTAGACGTGTTTCTCTTTCATTAAGGACTGTTAATCTCCGTAGCTCTGAAAAAGGTCAATATTCATAGATGGCGCTGATCAATAGCCTGGATATAGTTGTGGATATAAATCAATTCTTTTTTAATACGAAATATAAGAAGTTAGTTTTTTCCTTGTATTATTATTCAAATATAATAATAACGCAACCTATCACAAAGACGAAAATTTTTTTGTCCGAAATAATGGTTCTTTCAGGATATGTTGAATGTTTATCGCAAAGACACGATTGGGTTCGTTAGGTTAGATTAAGTTAGGTTTAAAAGCAAAAACATTTTCATCTCAAAATTGCTTTCGAGGTTATGAAATTACGACCAAACGTTATTTCCGGCATTATCCTTAAAAATCTGTGCAATAAGCGCCATCTAGTTGATCTGTTTGTTATCACTAGAAATCCAGCCAGAAGCCCTCTTTGAGTAAAAGAAAATATTATATTAAAATCAGATTCGATCGCATGTATCGATGTATCGCTGGAACACAATGTCCAAATGTTCACTCTTGTTGCATTTATATTCGGTATGTGTCGATTGGTTCTTCCTGTGGAGACAAAAACAAGATATACTGTAAAATAGAGCTTTTGTTCAAGCGTAAGTGATTGTGGTATAAAAAATACAATTTGATATTATTCTTTGAGGTCGTAACGATAAGCGCAAATTTTGAATTTCGACCTGTGAATTGGTGTCAACAGCCCATTGACTTACAATTATATGGACGACGGGTTTAATACACAAACCACGAAAAAATGTCCCAAGTCAACCTATTTAAACGACATGTAAAGGAATATGAAAAAGCTAAAACGTTGAATTTAAATTGTAATGTCATCGCAGTACTGTCTAATTTTGCTTGCTTCACTGTTAGTCGAACAAACGAAGACTAAAGCGTGAATGACGCTCTGTATACGATTTTAACGCCCTATAAGTTCGGACAATTTTTAGCGCGGACCCGACGTCCATATAATTGTAAGTCAATGCAACAGCCACATTTAATTGTAAAATATTTCGCTCGCTAATTTCTACACATTTGTTTGCAAATTTGCAAAAAGAATAGGCAGTAGGAAATCAACTTTCCCTATAATAATTCTTAATTAATATTTCTTAAGTATCACGCAGCCAGGTACGGGAAGTAGGTATGTACAAACGATATATCTTTCTGCTAGACAGGAAGAAATATGTCCAACCTTCACGAATTGTGGCACTATATTTAAAAAATATGACAGAGTCCAAAAATGTTTGTAGTTTACTAATTTCTTACTTGTAATATTCTTCACATTCTTCCAGAGAAACTTCTCCACTTATAAGGCGAGATCCGAATCCACTGTAGTACGTTGCATACCGTTGCTGAAACCGAAATCGAAATACAATGTTCCATAATACAATTTATTTTTACTGTCTGTATAAAATACCAATGTCGTTCTAGACCAGCCCGCCAACGGCCCTTCTAAAGTGGGAGTGTACCAGTCCTCGGAAACATATTTAGACAGTCTCGTCGATATCCACAGACAAATTAATATATACATATGTTAACATACACACAAAATAACACAATATTAATAATGTGTCCCGGGTTCGATTTCCGGGCCGGGAGAAATATTTGTATGGCCTACCTATATTTCTCTCGTGAGTTTAGGTGCTAATTATGTTTGTGTCCATGGCACCCGCGATACCGGGTTTCTCTAGAGCGAGGCTTCGAGTGTGTGCGTTATATATTTCAAAAGAATATGCATTTTTTTATTCTGCTCCATTTGCTATTTCTGATGTGTATCCTGGCTCCAAAGCTTCATCTCTAGACGCAGATTAATGCATGCCTTAAATATTATCACGAGTTATAGGGTTCATGCTACGGTACAACTTTTCTTATTCTTCTTCTTTTTACTTATTAGCGGTGCCCTTTTAGGTTTTCGCAAAGATCGGGTTTCTCGCTTAGTAATTGCAGATACTTCTGCAGGTTCTGGTATTCAACAAGTATCCCGAATAGAATAGAATAGAATGGAATTCATTTATTGTGTGAATGTGACGAACATTAAGGTCTTCTGAACATAATTACAGTCCTCACAATCTACCCGCCACCGGCGTACAATGTTTAAAGTACAAATCAATTATGAAATTAAAATAAACTTGTACATAAAGCATATATCATTAGTACATTAATTTCATGTCGTAGGGGAACGTGGGGTATTGGGAGCCCGCGGGTAATGAGAGCGGTGTTAAACTGGACTTTCCCAATGCTCGTATTTGTGCAAACGGCACTCCTATGTCTTCGTTAACGTTCGATAAGGTTCGAGTCCCGTGGGCGCGCAACCCCGCGTTTAGTCGTATGAGATGATTGTGTGTTTTTCGCTCCGCGCTCATAAAATTTGTTAAATTTCGTCATCCCAGGTAAGCATTAAAATGCAAAGATACTACATTGTATTTACACTAGCTGTGTCACCATATCTATATAATGAGAGCTATTTGGCTCTCCTTATCCCATTGCAATATTCACTGGATATTCCTTTGTCACTTTCTTGTTTATTTTCATTACTTTTTAACTTATATATTTTATTACTTTAATTTTTTTTTCAGACTGATTATATATAATGGCTCCCATTTGACATACGGGATTCTTACCGGCTGCCACTTCCCGAACTGTGGGGTAATGAGAGCGAATGACATGTTTTAGTTTTTTCTGTTTTAACCAAATATTTTATTTTAGTTTCATATTTTTTCTGTGATTATTTAGTATCCAGATATGTGAAGCGTGCGTAAGCGAATTATGACTTTTATTGTCAATTTTCCTTCGTAGGCTCCCATTCCCCCACGCTCCCCTAAATCTAACATTTTTATGTCATTTGGCAAGCGAATGTCTGAGGTAGTTGGTTGCAGTAAGTTAAGCCGCGATCGTAGATTATAGTTTTGTACTGTCAATTATGGAGTAATATAACTTTTATTAATGCGTACAAACAAACATAAATTCAAAATATATATACCTGTTCACGTTAAAGTATTATTTTGTGTAAACAAAGGTCTGGAAGACGTCATAAAGTCTTTGTTATATCTATATTATGCGAAAACATCTCTTGAAGGACAAATGTAGAATTGACGTTCACCCAGTTACCCCAAAGGATGACTCCATAATTGAGTATCATACACTTCCGATATCTCGGAATGGCTTGACTATCAATAAATAAGAAAATTTCATACATACAAAGAAAATTATAAAACAAAAGTTTATTTACCTGCAAATGTTTATGAAAGACCTGCTCGGCAATAACGGTGCAAGCGATTCTCAGGGCCTTTGCCGCCGCGTCAATGTACTTCACGTAGACGGTGACCATTTCTCTAAGATCGCTGTCACGGCGTGGTGTTAGCTTCAAGTTTATTCCCGCTGGCGGTATAGTGCCCTGTTGGGAGATTTAAAGTGAAAAAAACTAAAAAAATATGATAACCACATGATGTACTACACTACGATGAAACTTTTTGTTAGAAGTGTGTCTGCTGAAAGACTTTACTTAATCATTGATGGACTGATTTATTATATTAAAAACACCGAAAAATATACACCCTTACTTATCTATCTACATGAAAAAGCTTTCTATTTTCTTTGGTATTATAACAAAATATTTCAATGATTTTGTGACATATCTGCCTGGCTGCATGGCTTAACCGTTATAGAATTTTTTGTTTCATTTTAAAAACAACAGTCGAGTTGCTTTTTCAGCTTTTAGTCTGTATCTGGGAGGTTCGTAAATTATTCCAGCGTGCCATTTATCAGCATCAATGAAAGCAAATGCTGAGTTGGAATATTTTCATCAAATTCAAATGGGACCAATACTAAAGTGGGTACTTTAGTTCTTCAGGTCTTTCCAACAAGAAAAGAATCGTCGAAATCGGTTCAGAAAGAGTTTTTGCGTGACATACATACAAAAACAAATACAGTCGAATTGAAAACCACCTTTTTTGAAGTTGGTTAAAAAAGACAGACTATAATTCGTACCTGATCGATGAAGTTCTTGATCATGAGCGTCAGAGTTCTGCTATCGCAATGATCGAAGTTGTTCCAAATAGTCACCCCTCCCAGCATATTGTATCTGCGAAGGTCATTATTCAGAGATATTGTCTGCCCTAAAATTGTATCATCAAAACATGTGTTTATTTCCAGATTTTTTGTGTTTCTTGGTCCCATTTTGTACAAGAATTTAAACGCCAAACTGGCCATATATCATTTTTGTTACATAAAGGTTAAGAAAATTCTCCTAGAATTCCTTCAAAATATGCCCTACGATGATACAGAGAATTTATGAATTATCCCAAGATAAAGGTTGTCTAATTTAAGTGTAATAAGTATATGATTTGCATTTCATTTGTTTATATTTTAATAATTTTTTTTTGTTTATAATTTAATCGTCATATATTCACCTGTATAATTAGTATTTTTTACCTGAAATACAGGATTCTCCTAGTTCAGGTATATGCATTGACTTACAAATAAATGGACGACGGGCCTAATACAAAAACCACGAAAAAAATGTCCCAAGTCAACCTATTTAAACGTAGTGACATGTAAAGGAATATGAAAAAGCTAAAACGTTGAATTTAAATTGTAATGTCATCGGAGTACTGTCTAATTTTGCTTGCTTCGCTGTCAGTCGAACAAACGAGGACTAAATCGAGAATGACGCTCTGTATACGATTTTAACGCCCTATAAGTTCGGACACTTTTTAGCGCGGACCCGACGTCCATATAATTGTAAGTCAATGGGTATATGTGTTATATTTTACATTTATTCGCATAGTCTTTAGTTATTCACTTGTATAATACGTTATTCAATAAACGATTTTATTTATTTTTATTATTCAATAATAATTTGTTTCCAATCGCAATGGCAGTGATCTTCAAATAATTATTGTAACTGTACAGATCATTATTAGAGATGCATGAAACAAAAAGCGATACAGCGAAGATATTAAAGAAACAACGGAAGTAAATCATAAACTAGTATAACAAATAGGCATACCTCTATTTAAACGAAAAGCACTTAAAAAGTTTGCTTTTTAAAATAAGCACATAAGCACGCTTTTCAATTTAAGCGTAAGCGTTAACAACGTGCATAAGTTTCAAGTTCCGCTATCTATGTTTCCTAAACAAATCAATTCATCAATGTGAATAATAATTTTATAAATAAAAATAAAACTCGTGTTTTACAAATAAACTTACTTATCTTAAAACCTTTAGTGGTCGTTTGCTTTTTTTTTTTTAACAATAACGCACACACTCAACATAGCCCCGCACTAGGGAAACCCTGGGTCGCGGGTGCTATGGACACACACATAGACAACCAGAAATTTTCGCTATGCACACAACGTTGCAAGCATTTTTAACATGTTTTCCTAAACGATTTTATAAGCTTCGAACTAAAAAGCGTTTATGTGAAAAGCGTATAAGAAAGCACGTTTAAAAAAATGTTTAATAAAATCAAATTAGTAGAAACGTTAAAACAAGGCATAAATATAAAATTTAATATGTATTTTTAAACTACCAGTTAGTGTATCTGCATTGGAAATGCATTCAAGCAAAAACTAAGACTTTACTTAGAAAATCACGCTTTTTATAAAACCATCATGTTTATGGATTCAATTGTAAATTCATTCATTTTCTTAAAAAAAACATGATGTTAAGCATTCTGTATATGTATATTATACCTGTATAATTTACGTTTATATTTCTTGTAATTTGACTTACCTTTTAATGTTTTGACTCTGACCTAAAGATTACTTACAATATTTTAAACCATTGTGAGATAACGGAACCTGTACGAGAATAGCCTGTGTCTTGTGTATTGTTGCATTGAAAGGCAAAGTATTAAAGAAATATCTTACACATTAGCCATAAACATGTGGTGTCCAGGCGGGCAGCAGACTTTATAATAACGTTCCAAATTGTAATTCTTCAAAAAGTACAAACAACTCGTTACATCCCACATGTACATGTTCACCATCTCGCGTTCCATCCATCCGACGAAATTCCAACTTCCATGATTAATTGTATTGCAATTGTAATACGGCATGATTAATAATTGACATTTATAATTTAATCTGTCGCGATAATCAGCTGTCATTTTTAAGAGTTTGGAGAATAATTTTATCTCTCTTTGCACGTCCGTTTGGAATATTGAGTCGTAGCCTTCTCTGTAAGGCCACAGGAGAAAGCATTCTGCGTTTAAACGCTGAGATATTTCGAGGCATTTTTTAACTTGAGTCGCGGCCTGAATGAACGACGTGGCGTCACTGCTTGTTATTGCTCCTGAGGCGTATCTGTGGATAGATAAAGTATTATACTAGAAGATTCATAAAGCCGGGTTTTCACAATACGAGTACGTTCGGACCAAAATTCACTCGTATATTGTCAGGTCAAAATAAATTTGAAAAGTCGAAAAAAGAACTATTACACAAATTGCATTATAATAAGTTTGTGCTAAATAGCATGGCAATAGCGGTCAATCACCCCTTCCTACCACTGTGTACGTCATTTGTGAAAACGATGCTCTTCAATGTTTCTAGTAACAACGTGCGAAATTATTATCGTCAGCGTATCGTGTTAGAGGTCACTTTGACGTACATTTCAACAATTAAATATAATAAATCTTAATTACAATAATAAAAATGTGATGTTTACAACGTTTAAATTCAGAGTCATATATATGCCTCAATTTCATTTATTTTTTAAGTTACATCACTGACTTTTAATGTTAATCACGCGATTTCAAAATTGCGTGATTAACATAATAAAAAAAACAGTTTTATAGGGAATTGGCAATCGGGCGCTACGAATTGTGTGTTGGATAAAAGTCAGGTGAACGATCGCTATTGACATGCTACTTACTTATTTGGCACAAGATAGTTTCAGAAAATTGCAATTAGCCTTATTTTATAATTGGCTAATTTGTGTACAGTTCTGTACATTATTATTTTAAGCAAATAAACATTAATATTACTATTATTATCATGATGTATATATACACATTCTTAATCTTTTAATAAGTTTTGTATAACGATTGTTACTTCAACAACTCTTCTATAATTTTATTGTCTGATTTGTGAGACCTTTTCCTGTCCCGCTATTATATTAATAAATTGTTTCTTAAAAACTAAATACCTAGGATGCGAATGCAAGTCCGGCGCCAACCACAACATCTTAACATGATATCTCTGGTTCAACTCCTGAATATACTCCACCATATCGTCCCAATGCAATCTGATCTCTTCCCAGGAGGAGTCCCCAGCAGGCACGAGGTCAGTGTCGAACGCCGTCCAATACTTTACTCCTAGTTTAGACATCAAGTCGAAAAGAGCTTTCACACAACGTTTGTGATTGTCCAAGGAGTTGGTTGTATCGTCCCAAGAACGGTTGAGAGTTGATCTGCCGTGTAGATCTGATCCTAGAAAAATAATATTCTTACAAACCTTTCATATCTGTGCGAAAGGTAAAACTCCCTAAGAGCAAACTTCATGCAGGGAAGTACTGCCACCATACAGGTTTCTGCCGCCGAGCTGAAATGTGAGCATAGCTGCGCTCCGGTTGAAGGGTGCTGGCGAAATTACAGGCATATAGAACTTGCCAACTTTATGTCTCAGGGTGACGGATGCAGTGGCAGTGCCCCACAGGTCTTTGCGATTTAGAGCTCTGAGTGGCACTGCAACTGTTATTGACAGGCGTGTCGCTTACCACCAAAACGCAGGGCTTGTCCGTCTCTTGATAACATAAAAAACTCCGCATTGGCCCGCGTGGCGGAAGTGTCTAGTGTAGTGCTAAACCCTCTCCTTAGAATAGATCCATGCCCAACAGTGGAACATATCATTACATGTTCCAAAAGGTTTGGTACGATGTATCAAAGGTGTGGAGTAATAAAGAACTGTATTTTTATGAAAGCGTGTTATACCATGTAGGTAAATGATACACGGTTACCAGATCGTCAATGTAGAGAATAAGTAGCAGAAAATACAAAAAAATACAATAACTCACTAGCGAGAACAACAAACATTATAAAAACATAGATGGAATCTTAGAATAATAACGCATAGAATGATAGTTTCATATCAAACGAACTAACTGAACAAGTGAGGCAAAAATCTAATTCATGTAGGCTAGTTTTAGTAGTAGGTTAATTTTCGGTTTTAGTGAATATTTATATAAAAATACAAGTTGAAACGCGCTACTTCCTTGTGGAATGTGATGTTAATCTCTATCTATGATCTATCTATGTATTTTATGTTTGCCTGACGTATTTTTACACTTATTTACCGCACATTTCGTCATTTTTAGGTAAAATTCTTGAGCTGCTCGCGGTGCAAGTTGACCTTGAGCACTGAAGGTCCGCCCGCTCGTGTAGGCCCATTGGGAGCGCTTCAATTTGCCTCACTAAGCGTGTGCGGACTAGGTTTCTATGTGTTATTATTCTAAGGATGGAATAATAACTCGATTGTATTCTCGTTTACACTTGAAAAGTGACTCAAAAGTGACTGCGTTTTTTTTGCAGCTACTTACGCGTCGATTGTATTCCAAACCTGGCATGTATGGCGATTACAGTACTTAAAATTTTACTATTATCCTGAGTAACGGCGAAGCCAAATCCATGTACAATCGATGCCCTTACTTAAGTATCCACTATTTGTAGTAAGCGCTACACAAAAAATGGATACAATGGATAAAAGTGACTGTACTACTATTTTTATTTTTGTAGGGCACCGACTGTATACTACCATTTTTTATGGATACTTATAAAGGAAATCAAACTATTTTAAGATCTAAATTGCATATATAAGTAATTTTTCAAACGAACCGAAACGTTGCGTGCCCTTTACAGGTACCAGGGTCACGGCTAACCACGTTACATAGGACCTGTAAAGGACCTAAAACGTAGTTTGATTAAAAAAAACAAATATACGCGATTGACATCCAAAATGAAATTGTTTCATTTCCTATGTGTAACAATCACGAAAACCTAACAACTGGATAATGTATATGTATTATAATAGGTTTTGGGTGTTACATTAAGGTTCCTTTAGCTAGTAAAAACATACCATTGCCCCTGAAGTCCGTCAGTGACACGCTACACTTTAACCAGTCTTCCATTGCGCGCGAGTGAACTCGTTCATTGTTATTATAGTATCGATAACTCGACGTGTCCACGAGCGCCGCCATGTTGTTGTACTCCACTCTTTCAACACCTACGAGAAACTTAGGACTTAGTAAAAGTATTGATTATGAGGCAACAAACCAGACACCGATGAATAACTCATCAAAACACTCTTATAAGATGAGAAATGAGGCCAGAGCTGTGTAGGTAACGTCCGGATAGAGCCGGATATAGGCTTCTTGTATGCGTGTCCGGCCTAATTAGACGGTGTCCAGCTTGTGACGGTGTCCATTTGACCAGACACGTGGTCGTACGTGCGAGCAGGGCGTCTCGGTGCAATTAAATTGTTCGGTTTTATTATTGTGTAATTACAATTTATGACTTTTATTTGATAATTATAAAAAAGGTTTTATTAAACTACAACACAAAATCCTTAAAAATATAATGTGTGCGACCTTTTTACCCAAATGTTCAGCTGATCTAGCTTGCTCCCGGCCGTTCAGTTTTAAGGCTTGGCAACCCTAGCTATACGGTTACTACAATAAAGAGGTAACAAGTTGCGGCAAGATAACAACTTGCGGCAATAATGGCAGCCTTTTCTAGTTTCTTCTGTATAAATGTCTAACAAGTGCACTATTTCATACATTCAATTCCTATAATAATTCCTATTGTTAGTAATTTTCCTCAATAAAATTTATATTTTACGTAAATTTTAAGGTGTACCTATATTATAATTTTAGTGTTAACCCACAACAGTATTTTCGTGCCATCCTATGCAATAAGGCGTCGCGCAAACGTGTGTCTTGTGTTGGATACAAGCAACCGATAACTAGAAGCTAAGGTGCTGCGTAGATAATAGAGCAACTTTGATCATCGAGTTTCGACAACTGGCAACCCGCAACTAGCTTTTTATGCCGTTATTCATATCATTTCAAGAAACCGCGCATACGTAGCAACCTCAGTTGAGAGTTTCGGAAATCGACTACAGTTTTCGATTGCCGAAATCCCTGACTAAATAAATTCTTAATTGCCGCAACTAGAGATTTGCATATTTGTACGGGTTGTCTCCAGTTGCCAGTTTCCGCAACCGGCAACGGCAACTCGTGAAGGAACTTCACTCCCTCCTTAACCCTCGCAGCGTCAATCTTGACCGTGGATTTCGAAACTTTATTTAAAGTTGCGACAATTGGCAACTAGGCCTTTTAGTTGCTACAACCGGCAACCGTTAATGGAAACTTCTAAAAAGTTTCCAGTTGCGTCAACTAAAGTTGCTCCATTTGCGGAGTGACTAAAATACTATTTTCAGAAAAATTGCGGTTGCGGCAACCGGCGCCTGTGTCCGGTCGCCGCACTCGGCAACTGTGTCCGGTGGCCGGAACCGGCGACTGTGTCAATTCAATATTAATTGTACGGAAATAGAATATAGTAGTTTAAATAAGGTAACTATTTAATTTTTACTTTCGTAATAACTTACCCTGAAAATAATCAACATTTTCACTTCTAGGCTCGCGCACCTTTTGCCTTTTGGTTCCTTGTTGAGCGTACGCCGCCATATCGTTTATTTTTTACAATCAATATTTTAGCAATGTAACTATCTTCATTAAAAGTTGTACTTGGAAGTGAGACTTAAAAGTACATTATCAAAAAGCGTCCTTTCTCCAGTTAAAACCAGAACAAACAGACAGTGGTATTTATTTCATGTAATCTTATATAATACGGTATGAAAGAAGCCACCGGAGCGTAATATGGGTCACTCCCTTTTGTTTAAAACTGGATTCACACTATTGTGTGGTTTACATACTACGTTGACAAACAAAATGTACTTACTGTAATGTTTCAAAATGTTATATACATTTTAGAAAGACTTCTTTTGTACAGGATTTAACAGTTAATACCATGGCACTGTTCTAATTCATCTCAATACATTTAGAAACAATATAAAATTGTTTTTACATTGTTGTAATCAACTGTGAAAGCAGTTGGTGAAAATCAGAGAATACGTACTTTCTCCGTTTTACCCTTATATGTACTAAATTAGTAGAACCCTCAGAATGGGTATTTGGCGACCTAGACAGACATTTTAATGCCTGTCTCTGGCACCAGTTTCTCACTATATTTATTATCTCAATAATAAACTCCCTAAACAGTAGCAAGCATTATTCAATTCAATTCTTTATTGCATTTACCATAATGTTACATAGGATGGAAAAGGTTTATAGCTAAATTAACAGCGCATTTCAGACCCTGTAGAGTCTGCAAATTATACGGACAGAGGGCGATTTATTCTTACAACATTTTGAAATTTAGGAATGTTGCTTCCTAAATTGTTTTATCTTGTCTTATCTTTATCTACATAAGTTCATATTAAATTAAATAGGACTTTATTCATCAAACACACACATAATATATAGAAAATCACACGATATATGTACTAATAAATTATGAGTGATGAAAAGGCGGAAGCTTCAACATAGTGCTGTTTGTCAGTCTCCGCCTATGTTCTCTGTAGGCATCGAGTATCGACGTCTGTAGGACTTTGTCGGTGCATAATTTTGAACAAAAGGTCTACATCGAAACAAACATCGTTCATTTTCATTCATTCAGATTCATTCCAACATCGTTAACCTAACTATTTATATCTTTAAACTGCTCTATCCACTCTTCTAACTTTTATTCTAACTCCATCAAGAAGCATCAAACTGTGGAATTCCTTGCCTATGTGACATAATTATTATGTTTTATATGATCCTACTTCGATTTATGTAATTGTTATACATATATTTTACTTCTTTTTTATTTTTTGTATTTTATTTTATTTTTTTCATGTGTGTATTGGCAGTGAATTAAATATGTATTATGTTGCGCCCTCAATGAATTTTTGTACGCTTTTCTTGTAACCCGAAGGAAGCCTGTGGAAGGGCTTTTTTGTATTATTATGTATGTATGTGTCCCAGTGTGCAATGAAGAAAATTTGTGTTGTATTGTATTTATATGTATATTGATTACGAGTATTTATACAATTGCAAATTAAAGTAAGCATATTCTTTTGGTTAAAATTGATCAAATCGGAAAATAGGAAAACATATTATTTATTGTACAATTTATTTAGAAAATATGACTTTTATTATGACTTGAATATAATTTATTTGTTATTTGTTTTTATTTATTAATTTATTCTATATTCTTATTAATTTGCTTTCCATGCGTATATTCATGTGCCTATAGTTTCTCTAGTACCCTTACCTTTTAAAACCGGAACGCAGTGTTTACTGCTTAGCAACAGAAATAAGCTAGCGATATTTCCCTGGATGAACATTTTTTTCGAGAAGCATTTTTAGTAGTTGCCGCCTACTGCTTCTCCAGAGATTTAGTAGTGAACTTTAGAGTCAACGACAGCGGTGTACCTTAACTAAAACAACAGTCGGTTGTGCAATGCACAACGGGAAGTGACCGTGCCAGCTCCGGTAACTATCTGGAATATAGGGAGAATACACTGTGACACTGTCCACAGGCTGATCTAGGGTCAGGACCTGAAATTACAAGGTACATGTACATGTACTCTGTACATGCACAGGTTATAGTGCACATCCCGTATAGCCAAGAAGTTGGTAGGGTCAATCAGTATAAAGAAAACTAATGCATAAATATACGGGACTCTTTCTTCGTAGAAAAGCAACAACGTACTGATAATATTCAGTTATTTACATTGAACATTTTATATTGATTGTTAAATAAAAGAAAATATTTCTACTGGATGTTAAATATATTTATGTATATACCATTGATAGTTAGAATATAGACGACAATAAGTCAGTGCAAACAATTCGTAAATTGCACAGTAAATTCGTTTTGAAATTATCACAAAATTTTAAAATAAAGCCTTCATACTGTTACATAAAGTTCAAAAAAAAAAAGAAAAAAAATTAATTAAATTTTTATTGAATTGATATTCAATTATTTTTTGTGAAATTACTCCACTAGTTTGTTATAATTATTAATACAAAGATCGAACACTCAGAAAAAATTCCTTCGACCCGGTCGGATTCGAACCGACGTCTTCTTGCATACCGTGCCAGACGCTATACCAACTAAGCCACGGAACGAACCAGTTTTTCTGAGTGTTCGATCTTTGTATTAATAATTATAACAAACTAGTGGAGTAATTTCACAAAAAATAATTGAATATCAATTCAATAAAAATTTAATTAATGCAGTGAATAGCGACATCTCTCGCCAGGACTGGTAGCTGTAAAGGTACCTAACTGGGTGATAAATCTGTCAAAGATTTCTCATAGATGGCGCTACGACTAAAAAGTCGTTGAAAAACCAAGTACAAAGACACGACGCAAGCACATAGAGAAATTCGTGAGGTCCGTTGGTTCGTTCCGTGGCTTAGTTGGTATAGCGTCTGGCACGGTATGCAAGAAGACGTCGGTTCGAATCCGACCGGGTCGAAGGAATTTTTTCTGAGTGTTCGATCTTTGTATTAATAATTAGAAAAAAAATTATTCGAAAACATGGTGGATACCACGCAGCGAAAACGGTATATTATTAACATATTCATATTTTTCACCATACCTGTACATACATTTAGTATGAAAATTACCACTACTAGACTAGTTTCCTGTGATAGGTTAGTAAGGTTTTCTATTTCAAGGCTTTCTAAGCATTCGTAATACAATAACATGGATTATCAGGTGATAACTTTTTATTTGTATATACGTTTGCATAAATCTAACATATATTACGATCTGTTACAATCATCTGGTAATCTTTTTTTTGCCTTTTTTAATGCATTATTTATGTTCATATTAACTTGAACATGTATTGATTAATTATGACGAACAACATTGAGATGCATTATTTGTAATCATAATAATTCTAACATGTACTGATTAATTATTACAAACAATATTCAAATGCGTCAACTGTAATGAATATTTAATTATTTTCAATTTATAAGAATGATGACAGACAACAATTATTATATATCTACCCTTAGAATAATAACGCATAGAAACTTAGTCCGCACACGCTAAGTGAGGCAAATTGAAGCGCTCCCAATGGTCCTACACAAGCGGGCGGGCCGTCAGTGCTCAAGGTCAACTTGCACCGCAAACAGCTCAAGAATTTTGGCTAAAAATGACGAAATGTGCGGTAAATGTGTGTAAAAATACGTCAGACAAACATAAAATAGATACTAACATCATATTCCACAAGGAAGTAACGCGTTTCAACTTGTATTTTTATATAAATATTCACTAAAACCGAAAATTAACCTACTACTAAAACTAGCCTACATGAATTTGATTTTTGCCTCACTTGTTCAGTTAGTTCGTTTGATATGAAACTATCATTCTATGCGTTATTATTCTAAGTATCTAACACTTTTTTGAAATTTTATATTTAATCTTCTTTTTTGTTTTTTTTTTGTAAAGGGATTTTCAGTTTTTTTAATAGTAATAATCGAAAAAAGAAATCAGGTGCCCTAACTGATATCTCATTTTCTAGGTATGCACTTCACATAGCTGTCATATTAATTATTAAGTTACGAAATTTAAAAAAACCGAAAGACCCTTGTTTAATTTATTGTAATCTATTAAATATGATAATTCAACTGACATCTATTCAATTTTATTTAATTGCTGAACAACATGAATAAACGTTGAACTAATGATAATACATTTTAATAACATTGTGCATCTACTGACATCAATGAATATCTTTGTAAATACGTATCTATAAAGTTTTGATTAATACTCCTGTCCATTGTAGTCCTTTTGATCGATTGTCAAACATAAACCAATACGCAAAAATAAAATCTCTATTTTTCATCCATCATCAGTAATCGAAATTTAGGGAGTTAATTTATCTAAACTATGAACAATTCCTTAGTATGGACATACCATTTCGTGATATAATGAATTTACAACGTTTTAACGTAGTGTAGTTACGCTAAAACTCTTTATAATAGTAAACATAAATGTATAAAACAAATGTGTTTGAGCGAATTTCTTTTTTTATTGTTTATTTTCAAAGTATTGCGAAATAAAGGTCGATTCATGTTTATTTTTTAAATGGCTTAAGTATTTAAATACGTTTATACCTATAGAAACACACGTAGAAAAATATTTTTTTAAACAATAATTTGTAGCAAATACCTAATAAAAAATTATAATTAGCCGCCAATGTGTTCGAATTTCAATAAATAATTACGCATATTTAAAAATAATTAGTTCTGAGAAGTACCGGGATTTGTAGAAGGGAATGTCCACATTATTCTTTAGTCCAACTAAATTAACTCCCTCGTCTTCGAGATCACCCCTTATTTCTAGTACTGGCGCATAAAAAATAAATTTATGAGCCAGGAGAAGGAGAAGCCTATATTCTAACCTAACCATTTTTATTGGACAATTATCCAAAACTGGTCACATTACACTATAGGATACTGACTTCGATGTATTTTTTAACTCCGCAATTTAGCTTCCATAGTTCATGTCGTAATAAGATTCTGCTACGTCGAGTGTTGACCGTTCGTCCGATCAATCTGACCAATATAATTATTTAATCCTGTTTGTCAAACCAATCTTAATGAATTAGATTGATTTTGAGATTGGTCGCTATTCTAGAAAACCATCGATATATGAGTACTGCAAATTCTATTTAAAGCGATATATTAGTTTTATTTTTTTCAATTTATTTCGATAGTTCCCCAAAAATGTTACTTTTGGAATAGTGACTTTTTATTATTGAAAGTGGTAATTGTGTACGGTTATTAGGCAATTGCCTAATTGCTTTTTTTTCTTTTTTTTTTTTTTATAATAACACACACACTCAACATAATTGCTACAATGTACTTGTGTGTTTATTTTTATCGTTCTTTTAAATTTGTTTCTGTCGCTTTGGTCTTACACCACTACGTCGAAAGAGCAGAGGCATCGTGCTTTCTTTTAAAATCATACAAAAAATTATAAACAACAATCCCTGCTTTTCTACGTACCTATTATGTTTTCTATCTCTTATAATGTAATTTCGTATAATTAACTAACATTTCTATCCTTGTTATCATTCCATTCCAACATTCCAAAAATAATATAAATGTATTACGTAAATCAATTACATACCAAAGTGTAATCGCGCCTTAATTCAAATCGGGAGAATGTTGTGTGGAGAATGTGTTCTCCCTTTCTGCACTTACTGCCATATCTGATAAATTTGTCACAGCCGAGTTAGACATACGATTTAATTCGGAACAGCGGAAGCGTGCAGCGAAGCGTTAAAGCGTTTTACTGAGCGTGCATTGTCGTGTGCAACGAGATTAGGTTCGCTCGAGCAGTCTCAAGGTCGTATTCCAGAACTCTACTCAATACTCAAGTCAGAATTTGAGCAGACTTGAGTATGATTTCAAGCACTGGAAATACGACCCTAATGACAAGGACTGAGTATGATTTCTAGTGCTTTGAATCATACTCAAGTCCTGACTCGAGCATTGAGTATAGTTCTAGAATACAAATCTTAGGGTCGTATTCTAGAGCTCTACTCATGTCAGGACTTGAGTATTGCAGTGAGCACTGAAAATCATACTCAAGCCCTTGCCATTAGGGTCGTATTTCCAGTGCTTGAAATCATACTCGAGTCTGCTCAAGTCCTGACTTGAGCATTGAGTAGAGTTCTGGAATACGACTCTCAGACTCAAACCGTCTTTATTTCATAAATTGCCTCCGTGTCTGGACGGTTACCATGCTTGACTGTCACGCAGGGTTCGATTCCAGAGCCGGAAAATATTTTTTATGGCCTCCTTTGATTTCTCTAGTGAGTCTAGGCGTAATTTGTGATTGTCTATGTGTGTGTCCAACGCACCCGCGATACAGTTTTTCCCTAGTGTCGGTAAGTGTGAGATATCATAAAAAATCAATAACCCAGTTTTAAAATATTGAAATTGTTTAAAGATATTTTAGCTAAGCGTCATTAGTGTAAGTTAACTAACTTGAACTGTTTTGAAATAAAGAATTTTGAGCTCTATCTTATGCAGCTTAAAACGGATATTTGACCAAATGTCACTTAGCCGCGGTTTAGATAGTGAAGGGCAGCATAGGTAAGCAAATAAATATACTTGAAATCGTCATACTAATTAAACTCTACTGCTCATTCGTAAGGTAGGTTCCCCTGAGAAGAATGAGCAAGAAACTCTAGGGGTTTCTGTTTGTAAATATACATTTGAATACATTTATCATTTACAATATTTAATTCAAACATCTTAGATCTGTAGAAGCGATATAAGTGACCCGTTTAGTCATTGACCGATCGGATTAGGTCGTTCAATAGAAGGCATGTTCGCAGGAACGATACATATGTTGTATTATTGACAATTTTTATGAAATAACTCCACTTTTTTAGGTTTTGTTATGATTATTGCTGCGGTGAAGGTTCTAAAATCTCTCACTAGATGTCACTAGCGGCTCAGAATGCCGAAAAATCCAGTACAAAGATCTTTAACAAAACACATAGGAGAATTTCGACAACTCGATAACTTGACCCGTAGCTCAGTTGGTAAGAGCAATACTACAGTGCAGTACGGTCGTGGGGTCAAGTTTCATCGGGTCGAAAAAGTTTTTCTATGCATTCGATCCTTATATTAAATAACCATGACACACTTATCGCACTGTCAATTAAATAGTGTGTTAACTCAAAAAGTGTATTTTTTCAAAATCAATGAAAAACGAATAACATTTCCGGTGAAAAATTATTAAAATTTATGTATATGTTGAAGTTTATTGCAGACAATATTCAAATAAACAAATTCCTGCTTGCCATATGTATTTAAAAATAAAATTGAAACAATAACTTTACATTCTTGAGTAAGGACTGCTTTGTCCAGAGTTAACTCACAATAATTTTATTTCATTTTGATTTAAGTAGATATTTTTTAATTGTTTCTTACAATATTCTATCGACGGTTATAATCACATGTGGAGAATCAAATTTTGTGTTCAGCAATCGTATAGTCTTGAATTTCACATATTTTGAGTTACAACACTATTGTAATAGCGGTGCGATATTTTATATTGTTTAATTTACAACTGGTAGCCTGCTGGGACGAAGGTTGCTTCTTAATCGAGAAGTCGACGGCTCGTATCCCGGTGCGGATATGTACCTATGATTTTAATTTCGAATACCTCCAAGGAAAAGACCGTAAGGAAACCATAAAGAAACCTACATGTCAAGTACTGTTCACAAGCCTTGTAAAACACATAAAGTCCCCAATCCAAGAAGTTCGACACGGTTTGCACTGCAGGGATTAGATGTGAAGGGTTCGATTCCCAGTATGACCATTTTGGGAGATACACTTTTCTAAATTGGTCTTGATCTGGATATTCTAGGTTCATCATAGTACAGTATTTCCTCGTTTAATACCAGACGCGTTGTGGTGGTTTAAAAAATCCGCATTAGGCCAGCTAAAACCCTCTAATTAGAGAGACCCGTGCACAGCAGCGGAAATAATAATGAGTTGATAATGAAATTTGTGAATGCTGTCCTTGTGTACTGACACATATACTCGTCAAAACGCTTACTGCAATGCCTTGTTATTTATACGGCGGATAACCGATGGATGCATATCGCGTCCATTCGGCTGGTCTGGAAACCTTTGGGGGAGGCCTATGTTATACGCATTCTAGTCATGTATATGTAATTCCTATTAGTAACTTTTCTACTTGTTTTTAGTTAATATTTAAGCTAAATTTTATAATTTTAGTGTTTACCACGCTAGTCCTTACGTGCCATCGAATCTTGTAAAAGCGGTCCCAACTGAAAAGCAGCGTTACAACAAACGAGCTGTAACATTATGCTGAGTTGTTTCAGCTTATGGATATGATTATGTAATCATTAATTTGTTTTATCTCTTTTGCTTGCATTTTCTTAAGCTGAATACACGTTTCTTTCTTTCTATTTCATTTCTTAAGGATACTTTAAACTCTGTTACAAAGACAGCTCAATACAACAGTGCAGCGCGCACGCCCCGCCGTAACGAATTTCCGGCTTCACGCATCCCCAACGAAAACCCAGCCTCATCCCGAGGCTGAAAATAAATCAAACAGAAACAAACAACTTAAAATATTTAATAACGTAACATAAAATAAGTTAGAACAGCACGATTACGCCCGCTTCGCCCGTTCGACGTTGAGCGACAGCTATAACATCATGTACAGCATGCGGCAGAGGAAGGCCACCAGCAGCACGATGACGGGCACGGGCATCCGCAGGTGCGTGCGGATCAGGTCGGCGTAGTACAGCGCGTCGGCCGACTGCAGCTGCGGCAGGCCCGACACCTCGCCACGCGCCAGCGGCGCCGCCAGCCCCGGCGCGCGCGGCGCGTCGAGCGGCTCGCCGAGCATGCAGAACTTGGTCGCGTCTATGATCTCCACTGTGAACATCTTGCCCATCAGTTTGTCCTCCTTCGGGACTAGAACCTGTTGACACAGAGAAATATTATTCCAATATTTTTTACAATCAATACCTATGTATCGGTTTTTTAGTACTATTACTAAAAAAACCGACCTCAAAAGTTCGTGGAATTAACATACACACTCAACATTTTTTTTGGTTATATATTTTATTGATTACATCTATTTGCGAAGTTTTATTGAAGTCGGTTACCGGATTCATCCCCTAGTTTGCCACCCTTAGAGGTGGAACATTTTCTTCAAATTTAAATGGGACCAATACCGAGGTACCCTCTTTCCATAAAAAAAAAGAATCATTAAAATTGGTTCACAACTGTCCGAGTTATCGCGTAACATACATACAAAAAATAAACAATTTTTTTAAATCAAAAACCCGACTGCAGAAAAAAAATAACTGAAAAGAGATAAATAAACGCTTTCATATATAGAGCTTTGTTTGAGCAATGTCGATTTCTTTTATAACATCAAGTGAAACAAAAATTCAAAAAAATTGGAAATGAAACTATTTTTCCGGATTTAAATCGCGTATATTTGTTTTTTCAAACAAACCGACGTTTCGGGCCCTTTACATGTCCCATGTTCACGGTTGACTGAGGTGGTACAGTCTTCAACCAGTTATGTCTAATATTAATGCAAACCACCCTATTTTTTCACTATAGTTACAATAGTTATTAATTAAATACCTTATTTTTAATTTTACAAAGAAAACATTGCAATTTACGCTACATTAAGTTTTACAGATTATTTTATTGAATGAATTTTTATTAAGTTTAATTTATTATTAATTATTAATAGAAATTAGAATAAACTAAAACATATTAATTAGTACTGCAGTCTTATGTCTGTTTGGGATTTTTCATTAGAGGAAATACTGGATCCCAAACTGGTGGTACGGAGAAACCACCTTCCCTGTTGAAATTAGGATGTTAAAAAAAATTGTTATACACTAGGCATGCGATGTGGTTTGTTCAGTACCTACTTACTTAGGTGAATTATTAATTATGGTCATTGACATACTTAGGAAGTTGTTTACTTAACTACAGAAAATATGTAGTTGACACCCGATTATTATTAAATCGTAAACATCTTATGGGCACTGCCACTGCGCCCGTCATCCTGAGACATAAGTTGACGAGTCCCAAGTGCCTGTAATTTCACCGGCACCATTACCCTTCAAAACCGGAACGCCTTAATACTCATATTACTGCTTGGCGGCAGAAATAGATAAGGCGGCAGTACTTCCTGGACGAACTCTTTCTCAAGGAGCTCTAATGCTACGATACCTATATTGATACAATATAAAATGTTCAATGTTCAATTGAATCTTCTCAGTACGTTCTTGACACTTTTCTATGGAGAAGCAGTAGGCAATTACTTTTAGTAGCAGTAGAACTCTACCGCTACTAAATGATAATCCAAGGATAACATGACCATGACCAACAATCCAAGATTGCTAATCGCGATACAAGACAACGTAGTAGGGTATTTAGTACCTATTGATTGCTACATCAGATGTGGCGATGAATGCCTAAAAGCTAATGTTGTAAATAATACAATTTATCGAAGCTACTCTAATTTCTAGTGATAACAAACAAATCAACTAAATGGCGCTTATTGCACAGATATATATAGGATAGTGCCGGCTATTCTTTTATTTTGTTTAAGATTAGCGCCATCTACCCGTATTCGGAAGCGTTAATTTATAAATTAGTTTGTATAACAGAATACCAACTATTAACACGCATATTTGTCAAATTTCAAAAAATATTATAATATTCCAAGCATCGAGTATATAACCAGAAATAGAGACGAAAAGTCTTTTAATTTGTATGAAAACTATTCTGCCCTATCATTACGGTGACAACTGCGCTCCGATTGGCCAGCCCGAATTCGAAACAATTGACGGGTGTCGTCAATTGTTTCACTTCAAAACAACCCATTTCACTTGAGCTTTGCTATAATGGACAAAAATTTAAAAACTACATATTTAATATTTAATTACCGGTGAAATGTGATTCCGTTTGTTTTGAAATTAGATGTTTTGCTGTTTTCCCCCAAACCACCGATTGGAACAGCACGCCTTTGTTCGCCACGCCACGCCAGAGATATTATCTTTATTATAATACAGAATATTTTTCAAATACACGAAGGCGTACACACAGGTCTGTTGTTGGCGCTGTTTATATTTCAGTGCAAACGAGAGTTGATATTTATAAGTGATATATCGCTGATGAGTTACCAGGAATGTACAACCCTAATTTCATCTCTATTTCTAGTTACATACTCGATGATTATAAGGAAAAAACTGACTCCTTGTATTTCATATTAATGATGAATTAATTGATATCCACGACAAATTACATAACATAAACTACTTCCAGTCTATCGATCAGCGCCATATTGATATGAGACGGGATTTTTACCTTTTTCAGAGTTACGATCTGTGGTATGGAGATTAGCAGTTCTATAACAATTATTAATAATAAATAAATAAATAAATAACGCACACACTCAACATAGCCCCGCACTAAGGAAACCCTGTGTCGCGGGTGCCATGGACACACACATAGACAACCACAAATTACACCCAAACTCACGAGAGAAATAAATGTAGGCCATACAAACATTTCTCCCGGCCCGGGAATCGAACCTGGGTCCTCTGCGTGGCAGATAGTAACCGTTCGGCCACCGAATTAATATACTATATTAGAGTTCATTATCTAATAAAAGGAGTTTCAGTCGTGTATAAAACATTTCGTACGTTGTGTAGCGTGTGTGTAAGGCAGTAAATAAGAAATTGCTAACGAGAGTCTGTTAGAAGCCCGAAGCCGAAGACTGAGGGCTTTAATGACTCGAGTTTAGAGTTCGAGAAGGTTTGTCATTTTTACCGCCCGTGCTACATTTGTATTTAGCACTTTATACTTTATTACAATTGTAATGTTTTTCCTCACATTTGCGAGGATACAACGATAATTTATTTCTTGTATCAATAAATATCGCTTCACAACACAACATTCACGAATTTTGCACATGACGAGTTCTTTTTTGTTTTTATTTTTAGATTGCCTGCTATTTTTCCATAGATAACACAACTGGAACTAAAGTGTTATAAAAGGCATAGACGTATGCAACCAAAATGTATTAGATATGAAATAAATAATTTCCAAATTGAAAATAGTGCAGAATTTGATTTCACAAAATAAATTTATTAAAATATAGTTAAATGCAAATGTTTAGATTTTTTTTAATACTTCCAAGTTTATACGAAATATATATACGTTCAGATTTTTCGAGCATATACACTTTTTGCATAATCTTGATGTAAAAAATCCATTGGGCGTTAATGTATATTGACGTTACGAGCAAGTGTGATGAACACTTTTACAAGCAAATTAGTACAACACCGACCTGTTCGTAGAACTCGTTGTGCGCAACGTAGTAGTTCTTGTCGTGCGACAGGTCCGTGACCAGCACCTCGTAGACTTCTCCGATGCGGTCCTCGTAGGGTTGGTACGAGCGGAACAGCTCTGACAGCCGCTTCGTACGCCTCTTTACCTCCGGGCCGGGGACCTGTATACAACAATTATAATTATTTTAAAACAGACAGACATGACTTTAACTATGATGATATTAACGATACCCTTTCAAAGGTAGTTTATTGGGTTAATGTTAACAATTTATTGCTCAATGCCAAGAAGACAAAGTGTGTTAAATTTGAATTACCTAATGTAAAATCGACTAGTCCAATCATAGAAATAAATGGAGAAAAGTTAGACTTTGTTAATAAAGCTGTATTTTTGGGAGTGACCTTAGATAGCAGATTAAGCTCTGCTGCATACGCAGTCCGTAGGATACGTGAGCTTACCGATGTTGCTACTGCTAGACTAGTTTACTTTAGTTACTTCAATAGTATAATGTCCTACGGGATTCTCATGTGGGGCAAAGCGGCAGATATACAAACCATATTTGTGTTGCAAAAACGAGCGATTTTCTGTGTACCGTTTAGGTTCTCGCGTTTCCCTCATAAAAAAGTTAAAGGAGACTGGTATCATGACTGTGGCATCACAGTACATTTACTCAAATATTTTGTATGTCCGTACAATATATAATTTTCATTAAGAAAGAAGATATCCATAATATTAACTCATGGAACCACGATTCCGTTGTACCAAGGTAAACGATTCATTTATGGGGAATTGTATACGTTTTTACAATAAGATTCCGGAGAATATATTAAGATTATCATTTCCTAAGTTTAATACTTACGTCAAAAGTATTTTAATTGAAAATTCATATTACAAAATTGTAGACTACGTGTTAGGTAATGTTGTATTGGAAAGACAACGTGAGTCTAGATTCCACACAAATATGATTCAAAATGTATTCTCTAATAGCATTTAAGTTTATTTGAAAAGAAAAAAAATCCTTGGAACCGACGTCTTCTAGCAAACCGTGTCAGACGCTATGCCAACTAAGCCACGGAACGAACTAGCGGACCTGACGAATTTGTCTATGTGCTTGTTGTCGGAACTTTGTATTTGGTTTTCAACGACTTTTTAGCTGTAGCGCCATCTGTGAGAAATGTATGAGGTTATTTCGTCACCCAGTTAAGTAATATTACAGCTACCAGCCCTGGCTAGAGATGTCGCTATTAACAGTAATTAAATTTGTATTGAATTGATATTCAATTATTTTTTGTGAAATTACTCCACTGGTTTGTTGTAATTATTAATACAAATGTCGAGCACATAGAAAAAATTCCTTCGATCCGGCCGCATTTGAACCGAGACGTCTAGCAAACCATGCAAGATGCTATGCCAACTAAGCCACCGCTGCTGATTTTATTTATTACTGGTTTATGTGTACTTCTAGAGTTATATGCATGTTTACCTAACTTCTTAGATAGTTCCAACATTCTACAGCAGTAATTAAATATAATTCAACTTGCCTTTGTCATTTTGGCAGCCGGTGTGCCAGGTCTAGGGAAGAACTGGTTGATGAATAGCGAAGGAAACTTGTACTTCTTGCAAAGGGAATACGTTTGCTCGAAGTCCTCCTTCGTTTCCGTGGGGAAGCCGCAGATTATGTCCGTGGCTATTGTCATTCCGGGAACGCTGCAGCAACAGAGTACGTATCGGAAACATTAGCTTGATTAGAATGACATGTCGGCAAAATTAAGACGACGTATACAATAATTATTTCATACAGAGTATTTTTTTAAACGGGACTGTATGGGGAAATCCGAGACCATAGAAGATACAAGGAAAGGTCTTAGGAACCATTAACTCTTGTTGTGCAAATAATTTCGGCACAGTCAATTTTTTGGTCAAGTGTGAGTTGTCCATGAAAATGAATTTTCTCGACTCAATTTCATGAAGGAACAATTTCATTGTACAGGACAAAAAAAATCGGGACAGCACAAGTTTGTCTAATTTCATAAAACGTTCTTCATACATATTGAATAAAATTGACTATTTTTTAATAATGCTGATAGACTCAGCATTTTATAAGGATGATTTCATTGTATTGGATGAAAAAATCGGGACAGCAGATGTCGGTCAAATTTCATAAAATTAATAAAACTGACAATTTCTTTTTAATGCTGACAGACGCTGTTACACGAATGATTTTATTGTATTAGAAAAAAAGATTTCATGTTATTCAATTTGTATGAATTTTATTTATTTTATATGAATTTTTTGTTAATGTGTGAATTGAATTTTTTTTTTTTTAATAATAATAACGCACACACTCAACATAGCCCCGCACTAGGGAAACCCTGTGTCGCGGGTGCCATGGACACACACATAGACAACCACAAATTACACCCAAACTCACGAGGGAAATAATTGTAGGCCATACAACTATTTCTCCCGGCCCGGGAATCGAACGTGGGACCTCTGCGTGGCAGTCCGGCATGGTACGGTTACCATACCATTCGGCCACGGAGGCAGTTATTTTTTAATTGCGCAGGACCGATCGTCGTGGAGATCGTTGGGGGAGGCCTATGCCCAGCAGTGGGCATCGTATGGCTGAATGATGATGATGATGTGTTAATTGAATTGAATGAATGTGAATTGAATGTTATTCATTTTGTATGAATTTTTTTTATTAATTTGACCAACTTCTGCTGTCCCAATTTTTTTCTTCTGATACAATGATGTCATCCTTATAATGCACTGAATCTACTAGCATTAAAAGAAATTAGACAATTTTATTCACTTTGTATGAAATTTTCCTTATGAAAGAACAAGGCTTGTTTTTTTTTCATAATTGTACTTTACGCGCCTTGTAATATGCGAGCGCTCCTGAAATCCATCGCGAACATTATAGACATCCGATTAAAGTTCTGGTTTTACTGCCTTGTTTGTACAAAATCCCATAATACATGGCATAATACATCTTTTGTATTCTAACCGATTGTCTGACTGACCTTACATTCGACAACTTCAGTGTGGCAAGACTGAGCTCAGATTGGCTACTAAGCCAACTTTTAGTACGCCACGTTTCAAGCACATACACTTACGTTTTTTTTACTATTAAAGTGTTTGTTTAATACAATGAATACATCAATTTCGATGAAACTTACTTGTCTTTGAGGAAATCGACGACGAACTCGAAGTCTGCTCTAGAATACTCCCTCTTCATATCTGCGAGCACCTGGTCGCTGCCGGACTGCACGGGCACGTGCAGGAACCTGCAAGGTCATTAATATAATTATCATTATTGAGCTAAACGTTCATTTCTTATCCAAAAAAAGTGTGTCATAGCTATATGTAGAGTAGGCCAGCTTGAATCTTGAAGACCGCTTTTTCAAAAGCTAAGAATTGTAACGCTTCCCGCTATGTACGTACTTGAAGTATGTTTGTTAACAAAAAATTTTGCCTATTTACTGGGAAACGTGAAGTATGTATTTTTCTAACTAGACATCCCAGCCGCTTGACTGGCCTCTCCCATAACACTACTTGCTTTTCAAGGAACTGCTATACGTCCATAGAAATATACAATGCTTTGCATGCAGCGATCGCAGACTTACCCTTAAACATATTTAAAACGAAATTATTTTACTTGCTATGTGATGTGTATATATGATATCAAAGATTATTTAAAATGACACTATTATATTATATATTGGAATTGACACAACCTCGTTTTTAAGAACAACTGCTTCAATACATTTATAAGAATTTTTTAATAATTTATCTAATGTAATTAAATCACTACAAGGACTTACTTTTAAATCACAATTGACAAATTATTATTATTATTATATAAATACTGTATTCTGGCAAATAAACGTATTCCAAAAACATCGACCTCAAACGTTCGTGGAATAACATCTATATATTTGCCGGATTCATCCTCTAGTTTGCCACCCTTAGAGGTGAAATATTTTCTTCAAATTGAAATGGGACCAATACTGAGTACCCTCTTTCCAACAAAAAAAAGAATCATCAAAATCGGTTCTCAAATGCCGGAGCAATCGCGTATACATACAAAAAGAAAATACAGTCGAATTGAGTACTTCCTCCTTTTCGAAGTCGGTTAATAATACAGATTGTAACTCTGAAAAAGGTCAAAATCTCGTCTCATATCAAGATGGCGCTGATCGATAGGCTAGAAGTTGTTTATATTATGTAAACGACTGTGGATATCAATTAATTCCTTTTTAATATGAAATACAAGTATACAGTTTTTTTCGTTGTAATATTACTAGTAAATTATTTTCTAAACTTTGACAAATATACGTACCAATAGATGGCGTTGTGTGTTACAAAGAATTTGTAAATTACTATTTGCTAATATGCGTAGATGGCGCTAATCCTAAACAAAATTAAAAAATAGCCGGCAGTATCAATAACAATTAGTGAAACAAGCGCCATCTAGTTGATTTGTTTGTTATCACTAAAAATAGAGTAGCTTTGATAAATTGCAGCTTGTCAAATGTAAAACAAATTAATTACAAAAAAGCTTTACCTTTTTAAAAAAATATATATCAGGTTACGGGACGAACGAGTCGTGCTCCTGATGGCAAGCTATACGCCTGTGCATAACAGTTGCAGTGCCACTCAGAGCTTTAAACCACAAAGATCTGAGGGGCACTGAGTCTGTCACCCTGAGACATAAGTTAACAAGTCCCAAGTGCCTGTAATTACCCTTCAAAATCGGAACGCAGTAACGCTAACATCAATAAAACACTGCTTGGGGGCAGAAATACTTAAGGTGGCAGTACTTCCCTGGATTAACTCTTTCACAAGGAGCTAGCTCTACTGCTGCTTAAATTTTGGCACACGTCGCGACATCTGCTGTACCAATTAGGCACTAAATACCCGACCACGCTGTCTTGTATTGCAATTAGCAGACCTCTTGAACAATTAGTCCATGGATAAGAGAAATTAAAAATTATAAATTGGGAATTCGGAGTTAAAATAACGAATGAGGAATTACCAATCACGAACTCGGGATGGCTCCGTCCAAAAATAGTCCCTTTAATCGTGACGCAAAAGTATACATAAGAACAACTGACTTATAAACACGCGGATGGTGCATGATCTTGGCGATCTCGGCGAGGTGCTCGAGGATGTAGGGCGGGTTGGTCATGCCCAGGCGCAGGCGGCAGCCCTCGGGGATCACCTCCACCAGCTGCCACAGCAGCTCGGGCAGCGACGACCCGATGTCGCGGCCGTACGTGCCTGTGGAGCGATGGTCCATTTATAGATATTTACTATCTTTCTTTCTTTACTATCATTTATTAGCAGTGATAGATACTTACACAATTGTACATCAAAAGATTTATAATGAAAATTATGATTAGTTTATTTTTTTTTTAAGTTATCAAACTTACGATTAGTAATTAGATAGAAATGTTTATGCAAAATTCGACACTTCAACAAAATTACTACTTTATGTGTCAAGAGTCGTTAACAAATTTTTGTGACGAACAAGATTTTATGAAAACAATTTTTTTATAATTGATGAACCAACGGACCTCACGAATTTTTCTATGTGCTTGCGTCGTGTCTTTGTACTTGGTCTTTCAACGACTTTTTAGTCGTAGCGCCATCTATGAGAAATCTATTACAGATTTATCACCCAGTTAGTACCTTTACAACTACCAGTCCTGGCGAGAGATGTCGCTATTCACTGTATTAATTAAATTTTTATTGAATTGATGTTCAATTATTTTTTGTGAAATTACTCCACCAGTTTGTTATAATTATTAATACAAAATTATAACAAACAATGACTACGAATTTTTTTATGATATTAGTGAAAAGAATATCAAACTTCATGTTCCAAGGCATGACTTCATAAGTCATTCTACGATTTTCTGTGGGTTAACACATTTAAGTAGAACACGGCCCATATTAACATCTTTAAATAGGTTAGTGTGAGTATGACCTACTTGTCGCATCGCGATGTCGCAGTTGCGTTTATATCTCAACTATAGTATTTTTTATCCATTCAAATACTATCAGCAAGGAAGTGTTTGGTTATTATTGTTATTTTAATTTATATTACGATGTAGTATAAACTGTTTGTATACTTCAAGACAAAATAAATAAATAAATAAATAGAGGCAGCAAGTGTAGCTCTGTATATATCTGATCATCCATTGCCCCATACAAGCAGCTTTTTTGGCATTATATATTCCCAAACCTTACACTATATTACATATTATTTCAATGAACAACTTTACTATTAGTATTTTTTTAAAGTAACTTCTATATTTAACATCTCTGGGTGGTCCTGATAACTAGTGCCTTATAGAACTTTGGCATACGCCGAGCGAGTGCCCTGTCACTACTATGACAAAATAATATAAGCCGTTGAAAATAGAAAAACTCAATACAGAGATCAGGGGCCTTACAATTAACTCTAATTACGGTTCAGTATAGGTTCTAAACGACAAAAAAGCGGGATGGTGATATACACTTCATGTAGCGCTGTCTCACAGCGATTCATTTTAAGTCCTAAACTGAATCGTAATAAGAGTTTTTGGTAAGGCCCCTGTACTACCGCCGTTAGTTAAAAGGGCGCTTGTGACAAAAACTCAAAGTGAGGAAAATAATCTTTAAAAATATGGAGTTATCCCAAGAGAAAAGTATCTACTTTTCTCTTGGGATAACTCCATACATTATCCACCTAGGAAAGAAATAAAAATATTACGATGTTCCCTGTATGACATCCTCCATCCTTCTATCCCTCGCCCTACTTCCTTTAAATGCCTTTTGCCTCTCTCCTCTCACCAAAAAATGTATTATATTCTCTGTAAATTTGTACATACGAACCATATTAAATTGTAAATATTGTTCAAGTATTAACACTATATTTGTACATACATACATGTTACTAACAATTTCTTGTCTAATTTGTGCTGTCTCTTTTGTTCTAGGGATCAATTTGTCCAAAAATCTCTGATACTCCCTCTGAGTTACGAACAAACTTTCCGTATACACTCCCTCCATGATGTTTATCAAATGAGCATGAATCGAACACTGAACATAATTATAACTAGACTCACAAGCCCTTCATTACGAAAAAAAAATTATAAAAATAGTGACAGACCGGTCTTTTTTTCGTGATCATGGCAGTATACATAACAACATTTACGAAAAATTATCACATGCACCCTTCTACTAACGGCGGCAATATAACAGATAAATAGAAGTATTTCGTCGACCTGCAGCTCAGTTCGCAGAGCGTCGGTACGGTACACCATGGACGCAGGCGGTCTCTTCCCGTCCTCCGTCCAAAACAAATAAGTAATACTCGATAAACTCAAAAGACAATGTCACGTATGAAGCTTCATTGGCATCATGCGTCATTCATAATTTGGTGGTGTATTACTCTGGGAGTAGACCCCCAGATTCAAAACCTGTCGGATCGAAGGAATTTTTCTTTCTGTTCGATCTTTGTATAAATTATTAAAAAACTAATGTGTTTTTACTTTTCTTTTTAATCTGTATTTGTCTCATTAGAGAATAAAGTGTTTATCTAAAATTGACTGTAAGTCATCCTGTAAACCTGCTAAACTATTTTTAGCAGACAGCAGCTAAGCCAAATGGATGGTAATATTTTATGAAAGAGCTTTGCAGATTGTTCAACGTACCGGTATCTTCACTGGTTAACCAAATTTCCACGACTCCCTCCTTAAAAGACTGTCTTGCCCTCTCTACGATCTCTTCGGGAGGGTAACTTCCCAGCTCACCCCTCGCGTGTTTTGTCTTGCAATAAGTGCACTGGTTCAGGCACCCCGTGTTTATTGGAATGATCTCTATGAGAGGGTTCTTGCGTACTTTCGGCAGTAGAAGTGATGCGCCTCCAGCCTTGCGACCATTTGATGTTTTCTTTTGACCGAATAGACGGACTGTGTGGCCTGGGACAAAGTGCTCTTGTTAAAAATTCCTGTACGTATTTACACACTGTAACATACTATTGAACGCCTTAACAACAAAAAGTGTAGACTCCAGTACCATCGCTTGTTATCGCACAACAGCAGTTTATATAAAACATTCACTCATGCAATAGAACAAAGATATACGTATGTTAAAAATTTATACCTAAATAATCTCAGTACAGAGTACTAAGAAAACCGACCTCAAAAATACGTGGAATTACGTCTATTTGCTAAGTTTTATTGAAATATCCTTAAATTCGCCACTATACAGGAGCTGGAGATTATAAAAATCGGTTCTCACTACTCAAAGTATATCGAGAGAAAAACGCCTTGAATTGGAGAAATAGCAAAATCAACTAAATGATTGCTAAAAGTAATTGCTCCTAAATTAAAGTTAGGCGCTATTTATAAAAATGAATATTCATGCGTGAACAACCACCCTTAGAGGTGGATGATTTTCTTCAAAATGAAATGGGACCACTACGGTAGTACCCCCTTTCCAACAAGAAAGAACCATGAAAATCGGTTCACAAATACCGGAGTTATCGCGTAACATACATACAAAAAAAAACAAAAACCATACAATCGAATTGAGAACCTCCTCCTTTTTTGAAGTCGGTTAATGATATGGTATGGTGAGACGGGTTGGTGACCTTGAAATGATATTGTTTAAGGTCGATTTATAGTTGTACTTACAATAACATATGTGATTGCCTATGAAATTAGGAATTGTGTAGAGTCAAAGTCAAATAATCATTTATTTCGTAGGTAAAATTTTTACACTTGAAAACGTCATTTAATATAACCGACTTCAAAAAAAGGAGGAGGTTCTCAATTCGTCTGTATGTTTTTTTTTTGTACGTGATAGCTCCGCCATTTGTGAACCAATTTTGATGATTCTTTTTTTGTTGGAAATAAGGTACCTCAGATATGGTCCCATTTACATTTCAAGAAAATATTCCACCTCTAAGAGTGGCAAACTAGGGGATGAATGACTTTTGAGGTCGGTTTTTTTAACCGGAGGTTAGGTTACTTAAGCTACTGCTCGTTCACTACGCTGACCTCCCTGAGAAGAACGAGTAAGAAACTCTAGGGATTGCTCTTTTCAAATAAACTTAAATGCTATAAAATACATTTTGAATCACATTTGTGTGGAATCTAGACTCACGTTGTCTTTCCAATACAACATTATCTAACACGTAGTCTACAATTTTGTAATATAAATTTTCAATTAAAATACTTTTGACGTAAGTATTAAACTTAGGAAATGATTATCTTAATATATTCTCCGGAATCTTATTGTAAAAACGTATACAGTTCCCCATAAAAAATCGTTTACCTTAGTAAAACGGAATCGTGGTACCATGAGTTTGGACTTAGTTGTAAGGTTAATATTCAATAATTTAAAGCATCATTAATTACTCCAATGATATTGGGAGATTTCTTTCAAAATTGGTGTTTTATTTAATTTTTTTTTAATAGATCAAGTTGTAAAATTATTAAGTGACTGGTTAGACTGCACGAGTAAAGTGGACCAACTTTTGCATGAAAGATGGTTCACAGCAATTCAAATTACATTCTTGTAACGCCTTCATAACATGTCGCACATGAAAGCAAATACTGACGTAACTCAAAATTAATGAACTGAGAAAACACAATTTAAAAAAGTACCAAATGAAATCAATATACGGACTGATTTTTTAAATGGGACACTATGGGAACATCTATAAGAGATACAAGGAAACTGTCTTAGAGACCATTAAGTCTTTTTGTGAAAACAATTATGGTATAGTCAATTTTTTGGTCAAGCGTGGGTTGTATAAAAATGAATAAAGTTGATCAACATTTTTTTAGTGCTAATTGACTCAGTTTCATGAAGGGGTCATTTCATTGCATGGAACGAAAAAAATCGGGACACCCGAAGTCAAAGGTCAAATTTTATAAAATATTTTTCATACAAAATTAATAAAATTGAGTAATTTTTTTAAATGCTAATAGACTCAGTTTCTTATAAGTATGATTTCATTGCACGGGATGAAAAAAGCAGACTTTGGTCAAATTTAACAAAATGATTTGTCACATAATATTCTTAAATGTTCAATTAAATATTATGTATAAATTCATTTTGTCACATTTTTCCCAAGACTGTCTTTTCAGTTTTTTTTAAATTTTCAAATAGTTTTCTCATCATCAACCCATTTATACAACTCACTGTTGGGCATGGGTCTTCTCTCTAGCGCGGGTATTGTTACTATTAGGGTGCTTTCATTCGGAACATATGTAGCCCCTCATCACTGCGACCATCAGCTGATCTATTGTGATCACCACTAGTTAGAGTTCGGAGCCAAGGTAGCGAGGGTATAGGCCCTAGTCCCCCACACTGGCCCAATGCGGGTTGAGGACTTCACACGTTTTCCGAAGGTTGTGTATCTTCTTCGACGTGCAGGTTTCATCACGACGTTCCCCTTCACCAAAAAGCTCATGGTACATTAAATTTCGTACATAAATTCCGAGAAACTTACGAGATGCGATCCCAAATTCGAACCCAGGGCCTCTCCTTAAAAAGCAGTAGGTCAAACCAATAGGCTACCACACCTTTTCTCAATTCCATAATTTTGAGTTACGTCAGTAATGCAAAAAGAATGTTGCAGTAAATTCAGTATACCCTTGAGCGTCTCTTCGACGCACTCGACAATTCTGTCAATCTGCTGCACGCCGACGATGCTGAGGCCGCGTAGGTACTCGGCCCGCGGCGCGCCCTGCGGCACACACCCCGCCACAACCACGTGTATACCTCGGCTCTGTCCTAGTTCAATCTCATTCCTGAAAATTAAAGACTTGCCTAAAAAAATGCCTTTATCAACAGTGAGCAATGTAAAATTTTTATTTATAGCCTTTATTGCTGATAACTTACTAACTTATCTTACACATTGTAAGACATGCGTACTTATTATATTTTACTTATTTATTATTACTTCAGCTTGTCCTAAGACATAGGGCCTCTTCCAGAGATTTCCATTACTCCCTGTCTTTTACTGTTTGCCTCCATGCTCCTCCAGCAACATATTTAAAATCGTCTTCCCATCTAAAGTATGGTCTCCCTTTCTTCCTTTTTCCCTCTCTTGGGTACCATTCCACAATATCCCTTGTCCATTTGTCATTTTTTTCTCTCATTATGTGTCCTGTCCAACGCCATTTTTGCTGTTTTATTATACGGGACGTTTTTAGTCTTTGATTTGCTTTTAATTGTTGTCAGTTTTACTTTATAGATTTTAAGACTTTCGTGGTTATTCACTAAATGATTATCACTAATATCAGGTTTCTTAAGTGACCATGTCTGGCATCCATATGTGGTCACCAGTACAATGTACATATTTATTACTTTGAATACTTTCTAAGACAGCAGCGAATATTTTGGGCAATAGAGGATCCCCCTGACGGACACCCTTTCTGACTTGGAATTCTTCTCCTGTAGTCTCTAGCTGTATAGCTTTACTATTTTTGTATATTTGTTGGATTACTCTTATATATTATCTATAGTCTTATATCTTTTGTACTCCTTGTTCACTAAGAGATTCCCAGACTTTTTTATGTTTAAGTGAATCAAAGGCCTTATTGTAATCCATAAATTCTACATAGTATTGTTGTCCGTACTCATTCATTTTTTCTATTATTTGTTTTATTACAAGAATATGACCTATGGTTGAGAAGTTCTTTCGGAACCCAGCTTGTTCTCTGGGCTGATTTTTGTCAAGAGCCTGTGTCACGCGAGCCAATATTAATTTTGAGAAAACTTTGTATATGTTAGTCTTTAGACTAGTGGGTCGGTAATTATTTATCTGGGTTTTGTCGCCTTTTTTGTGGAGAAGAGTGGTTGTGGTCTTGGTCCATTGGTCTGGAATGGCCTCTTTATCTAAAATGTCGTTAACCAGATCCGTCAGATAGTCTAGTATAGCACCAAGAGTACCTTTTAATAGCCCATTAGTGGTGTTATCCCCTCCAGGAGCGTTATTATTTTTTTGAGTTAAAACAGCCTTTTGTACTTCGCTCTTAAGGAACTTGGGTATGGTTTCTCCGACATCTTCCAAGTTCACCATATCTACGTTATTTGTCTCATCGTCGTCGTAAAGATCCTTGTAAAATTTAGAAGCAATGTCCATAATATTCAGGCGCTTTGTGATTTGTATTTGTTTGTTGTCTTTGTAAGATGGTATCCAAGTTTTTCCTTCTGCAAGTTCTTTTATGGCTTTTTTGACACCTCCTGTTTTTTCTATATATAATCTTTGATTTTTTCAATTCTCGTCTTACGTCTAAATTTCCTTATGCTTTCGTTCATATTTTTGCTTACTTTAGTAATTTCAATACTACTGTTTTTCCTATCTTGAAGTAGTTGCTGTCTTTGCTTAGCTAAGTTTCTAGCTTCTTCTCCTATCTTATCTTTCTTTTTCGGAATATGTCTAAAATTATTATTGATATTTGTAAGTTGTTTCTCGAAAAAATCGTATTTTTCTTGGATACTTTTGAAGTCTTTCATTTTGCAAAGTTCTACACTCAGCTGATTTTGCATACATTCTGGGATTAGTAGAGGAATTTTTATCTTGCCATTGTTAATGAGTTTTCGGGATAACTTTGGGCTGTTCGAAACAATTTCGGCTTGGACCAAACAGTGATCACAGTTAAAGTTTATATTATTTACGATATCGATGTTTAAAACTGTGTGTTTTCTGTTAGTTAATATAAAACTCTTTCGTCCTTCTGTCTGTTAGGTGATATCCATGTCCACTTCTTATTATGTCGTTTTTTGAAGAAGGTATTCATTATGTACAACCTGTGTTCTAATGCAAAGTCGATTAATCTTTCCCCATTGTCATTTCTCCGGCCGGTACTGAAGTTACCGGCCGTGAAGTTTAGTGCGATCTTTGAGGAGCCTATTATGCTGTTAAAATCACTCATCAATATCATATTACGATGTGTTTTTTGTAAAGCGTGGAATTATCACTGTTTTGTAAATATTATGAACGAGAGCACTAGTAACGAGTATTTTCCAATTGGCAGCCGAACCGGAGCAATGTAAAATACAACTCATTAATAATAAAGACAGCATTACGTCTGAAGCCACAAAACATTCTGTCAAGTACATTTAAATATTGTATAATGTGGTTCCAAAATCTTGAGACACACTACACTGGTAACCTCATAAGCAACCCATCTCAATGGCAGTCAGTTTAATTCATACAATTAAACATACAACATCTTGTCTCAGAGAAAAAGAAAATTAAAAACTCACTTGAAATGATCCTCGGCAGGACTTTTCACAGTGCAGGAGTTGAGCAACCACAGCTGTGCGTCCCACTTATTTTCTGTTAGCTTGTACCCCTGAGCGGCCAACAAGCCTGCCATATACTCGGAGTCAGAATTGTTGTGTGCACAGCCCCATGTTTTGACGTAAATTGTCTGAGTACCTGATGGGTATATAATTGTTGTACTTAGTATTATTACGACAATATTAACTGTCTATAACCGACACATGATAATAATAATAATGCACACACAAATAGCCCAGCACTAGGGACCCTGTATCATAGGTGCAATGTTCACACAAATAAACAACCAAAACTTACAACCAAACTCATGAGAGAACTAAATGTAGGTCATACAAATATTCCTCCCAGCCCATGAATCAAACTCAGGATCTCTGCGTGTCAGATTGTTCGGCCTCAGAAGCATTTTATAAAGAGTCTTCCAATAAGAAGTTTCATTTTGATATGTAAAAAAATGAGTATTTTAGGAGAAATCATCGGACGTTTATTTAATTGTAAAGAGGAGGGTATGCCGTTAATAATGGAAAACAATATCAGTTGAATGGCTGCCATAGCTGCACTTGCAGGACCATATTCTTTTCATGAAATTTTCCATCACCAATTTGCTTATTTGTGGCAGTCTGTCCTCGATAATGATCATGAAACTTTCATACAAAAGAGCGATGGCTTCGTTTTCTGATCGTGTGATTTCTTAAAGAGGTGATCACAATTGGCCACTGAGATCTTGTGATTTAACACACCACCGCCTGGACTTTTTGCTTTGGAGCTACATGAAAGATAAGGTCTATGCCAATGGCCCACAAACGGTTAAGATCATAAAGATGAAATTCGTGAAATTATCAAGGACATACAGCCGCAAATGTGCGAATTGATGATGGAAAATTTCATGAAAAGAATATGGTCCCACAAGTACAGCCATGGCAGCCATTTGACTGATATTGTTTTCCATTATTAGTGGCATACCCTCCTCTTTATAATTATATAAACATCCAATGTATTGGTTTAAAAAATACTCGTTTTTAACATATCAAAATGAAACCACTTATCGGAAGACCATTTATAATGTATACATGTTAACAAAAGCCGCTTGTCAATAATCATATGAATACAAAATAATGGACAAAGAAGTTTGCGGTATGACTTCTTTCACAGATATACAAACAATTTTAACAGAGAAGCGTCTACATATTCTCACATGGATTATCACTTTTTAAAGTTTCTAATACACATCTGTAATCACTTAAAAATTAAATGATCAATCACCCTTATCTGGATCTGCCATGATTATAATTTTCTAAAATTTCGTCAAGCAACAAAATCTCAACTATCTTGTGCGTCACTGTGTTTCCAATCAATAAATGCACCCCTCACACCACTAGATCGGCATGACCTTGTATTTCTTATAGGATGTAGGTCCAGACATCAATAAAAGCCCTAGGCAACAAGCAGACGCCGCCTCCGCGCAGCGCACCCGAATGCGCATGTCCTAGGTCTCAATATTACAAGAGCACTATAAACTACCTTTTGGGAGACCGTTACCAGGGGCTAGGTTCTATATCCCGATATTGATTTTATTGCTTACGCCAGCTATTGAGATGTTATATATATAGTTATGAAGTCGAAGCAATCCGCAATTGCGAAATTTAAAAAAAAATACACAATATTTACTATTATGTATTATGTTATTTATACTATATTAACAAAGATACCACTTATATAATAGTGCAAAGATCATGAAATTAGGTTCTAACAGAGACATTTTCATACATTATCAATCATAACAACAAAATAAACAAATTTTTAGAGGTTATAATACCTGGCACAACGCTCTCGAGAATAACTTTCTCTGGCGGCTCCATAGCGTTCTTCTCTTCACGTTTCCGCGACCGGACGCTCACGTTCTTTCTACTGGCATAGCGTTCCTTCGGAGTTATGTCCTGTGACGAAATCAAATCCTCAATATCGTCAATAATCTCGCACACTGCGCCTGGCATTTTTGTTGGTATTCGCCAATTTGACAGCTGTCGTATGACATTGACAAGCTGCGTCTTAAAGTTAAAACTTTTATTTTTTTCCATCCTCTAAAAGTTAAAATATGAATAATTTGCAACCCTTTATGGTGTAAACAAGAAACTTTTCACTGTTATTGCATGTCGGAACTTTAAACTTTTTTTATTATACCAAATTAACAACTACAGGCTAAAGTCTGGTGAAGTTGTACAATGTCTAATATTTCAAAATTAATTTCTTTGTAAGCAACATCGAAACGATGGATACTATTGATTTCGACCTGTGATGGTGTGCGGCCAGCCAACTACTGTAGTACCACTGTTCCCAGATTAGGCGATTTTCGCCATTTGGACTACTAGAGGGGTCGCGCAGCGGCTAAAAAAGTGTTTGGCGACTCGGCGATATTTAGGCTATGTTTGAAATAGGAAAAGGCGATTTTAGGCTACTTAATAAAATGTCTGGGGAATTACAAATTTTATTGGGGATTTTGTGCAGTATGGAGTTGTAACCTATGTGTGGGAAATTGGGGAAATAAGAGAGTTCTTGATTTTTATGGATTTTATGGCTTGAGCGAATATTAGCTACTTAACACACATAAATTGGCGTATAAACTTCGCAAAAGTCTGGCAACACTGTTTAGTACTTCTATGCACCCTGCCAGCCAAAAGCTGGAAGCGTACGTGCGCATTTTTCTTTTATTAATACCTACCTAATACAAAATAATTGTCAACAAGCTGTAAATGCAGCACAGCTGCATTCATAACACGCAAAGGTATCGTTACCTGTGTAAATAAATTGGATTAGATACTTAATTGTTTATGTATGTACGTACGTACCTACCCAATATATTAAATGATTGAAAACTGGTGACTTAATTTTGAACTTGGTTAAGTTTTTGTTTCGATATTTTTGTCCTTATATTTCTATAAAACTTTAATATAATGCACTTTGCCTTCGCAAGCATTTTCTAAATCACATTCGTATTATTATCATTAAAATCATTAGATACACTCAAAAAACTTTATTCAAAAGGTCGGCTAACCCCAATAAAATTGTCGCTTCCCCTTAATTGCATAACTGTGCATAACGATCATGACATACTAATCCTTATTATTATTTACAAATAAAGCTGAAAATGGTTTAACTTTTGAATTGTAAATGTGTAGGATAACAATAGGCAATAGCGCAGCTGCAAAAGGTAAGTTCGGCCTTGCTTAGATAACTTTTGGCGCCTTTTTATACACGGTAAAACTTCTTAAATAACTAAATCATAATGTAGTTACAGAAGATCAAAATCGTTAAATTGAAATTATCGTAGACATTTTTGTCACTGTTCTAATTTACGATTATTATTGTTTTTATTACCTTTACCTCACGGGATTTATTTAAATAAATCAACTGTTACAATTATAATGATTACTATCCCAATGTACATTGTCTTGATAGGGTTATTATTATAGTAACAATAGGATGAAAAAATCTTGAAAACAAAATAGAGAAATCGTATCAAATGACTCGCATCGTAGTCTTCAAACAACCGATTGTATTTTGAAATTGAAACCAGTCGCGCGCGGGCTCCGGCAACAGTTGCACGCGTATTTTGTGAGTCATTTTATTATTAGTATTCTTTCTATCGTCGTGAAAAGTATGTGTTGTGCCTCTTTCTTTAATTAAAACCACTCTTTTATTTCGTGATATTAGTATAATTTGGACCATCTTTTTTATTTGGTAAGTTTAACATTAATTACCTATTTTGTAAATTATCAAAAACTTGGTTGGGTTGAAATGTCGAGTGATGTTTTGGAAGAAAATGAATTTGCAATAAAAAAGTATGTTGACTTTGTTAATAGGTCAATGGTTGACTTGTATTGTAAGATTGCGTCAAAGTTTGAAAATGGTGAAGTTATTATAATAACTTCAGATGTTCAGCCTACTTCGTGATAACTAGCATTTTTTTGTAATTTGACCCTTTTGTACTTAAATATTGTATAGCTTATGAATCACATGTAAATCTTTTTCCATTACCTTCTGATTACGTCTGTGTCTAATTTCTCACCCCAAAACCTTTGCTCCAGGGACAATATCACACAAAGAACACAATGTTTCGCTCATTTCCTTCCCATAGATAGATAAACTCCTTCGGAGCAAGTCGTCACGGGGCTGTAAGCACCCAAGACCCTTGCTTCGCTTCGTCGAAAAAAGAATTTAAAAAATAATCAAGGAAGCGCGGCACGAGCCGTCCACCTGTCAGCATATTATTGTTCTATTTTTTGTTGACAAATGGCGCAGAACGCCAATCGATGCATGCTAACTAAACCATATGGCTAGATCCTGCTTTTTTATTTCATCAATGCATATTGTAGGAGACATACTTTCAGCCAATGATCGCAATACATAGAACATTCAACGTAACTTTATCAAAAAATTACCCACGTACTTAAAATATGTAAATAGTATGTATGTATTTTAAAGCGCATTTGCATAAAAAAACGCAGCGGTTCGGCGCCGTACAGTGGGCTGAAAATCGGCTTTCATAGACTTTTATTTCAAAGTGTCTTTTTTGCTGGAAATAGATTCGGTTCTCTATTACTACTATGCTCAAATATAACAAGCGAGTTAGTTTTACATGAAAACTGATTAGCTATATTATTTTTTCATTTTTCAAAAAAATTTTGTGGAATTGATATGAAAAATCATTATATCTCTGAAAACCGTAATATCCTTACAGATGGTTATAGTACTAATTATTAGATATTAAAAAATATTTCGGTGACGACAAGTTTTAATGCGATAGATAACAAATGCACAATATTAAGATGTAGTTACTTAAAAATATATTATTAGAAAAAAATAACTAAATAATAATAATATCAACAATGAATAGACACAATTAATCAAATTACATTGGTTTAAAATGTTTAAATACATATGTATATATACGTTTATACATACGTTTAAATACGAATTCAATGTCAAATGCCTCCATCGACAAAGTCGTCAACATGGTGAAATGATTTTTTTCAACAAAAAATTACAATAAATAAACTTTACTTAAATGATTATGAATAAATACAATACAGTATCCTTTTAATACCTCGTGTTTAATACGTATATAATACATAACATTATGCAAATTAATTTTCTGCATCACTCTCTTCAGATTCTAGTTCAGAATACGGACCCAGATTGGATACATCCAAAAATTCTGATTGATTTTCCTGAAACTTAATTAATTATAAAGTTTCGGGGAAGAAATTGTGCCGTTTTTTGGTCACTAATTTTGATCTACTTGCACTGATGAGAGGGTCGGAAGAAAGTACAAGCATATCGAGAATATCCTCGTTCGAAGCTTGCCTGCTCCTTTTTCTCGAATGAGTATTCCCTAAACCTTCTAAATTCTTTGTTGCGGGCTTCTGAGGCTTCTCCTGAGAGGGTCCCAATTGGAATTAATGCATTGGCGATGATATCTGCTCGATGTAAGAGCAATTTATGGACGGTCGACGACATGTGATACCAATCGTATAACTCCACGTACTTCTCTGCTGTTTTGTAAGCACAGTCTTTAAATTTAGTAATATCAATTACCTCCCCAGATGTTATAGCTTCTACAATTATAGCAAATGTACGCACCAATTGCTGCGGTTCTATCGGGATACTCGAAGAATCTTCTTACTGTGTTTCCGTCATTAGTTGTTCCTGCACCTTGTTTTACTACTACTACCACGTCGATTAAAAGATTGAGCTTATCTTTAAACATATCTTGGATTCTTTTATCCTTGCCTCCAACATTTCCTTGCGCTCGTCTCCTCTCGCAGCCCACTTCTTGAAATCGAGTCGGTATGCGATGTGTAAAAGGCATTCCATCAAATTAATACGCCAGTTGACACGGTCTTAGATATAACAGTGTCTAATCGGTTCATTTCCGTAGGTTTAGCCAAGCACAAGTAGCAAAATGCATTTGTCCAGCTTCAGATAGATATGTACAGACTTTAGCATCAATCATCGTCATCATCAGATGATGACTTGCCATATTATTGTTACACTTTGTAGGGATAAGAACCTTAATTTCATCATCCATTTGCCTTTTGTGATTGATGACCACTGCTTCATCGAATCCCCACTTTAATATTAGCATCGAATGCTTATCTTGTACATTGCTATGAAGACATTCAAGGATCCTTTTCAGTGTAATATCCAGTAATGCTTGAAGATTTTAATTTTAATTTTAGCAGATGAATCGGACATAGTCACCGATTGCTTCAGAGGATAGCACTGCAGCTTGGCTTGTTGCTCTTTGTAGTAAGACGGATAAATATTCTTAGCACACTCTCGAATGGCTGTCTCCCTTAACGTGATGTATTGCCACTTAGTTAGCTTTAATGAAAGAAGCAAACCTGGAGCCTTTTCCGGTGTAAATGTTATGACCTGGTTTCTTAAGCATTTCATTTATTTTTGTAGCTGATTCTGAATTCTTCAGTATATGTTCGATAGTGGATGCAATATCCTCATTGCCTTGTTTTTTCAAAAGTGCTGCAGCTGAGTAGGCCAATTCATTTGGATCTTAATTTTTGTGTTCGTCTATCTTCTCTTCTACTGTTTGTTTCCCAGATCTTCGAAGGGTTTTCGGGATTTTTTTATAATCGTGCTAAATTACTATGACGTCGAAGGTTTTGGAGAGATGATATCTTCTATTGACTCCTCTAGTCTTGTACCTTGATTGAGCAAATTTGTTTGCACGCAGCTTGGCCAATCAACATTTGCCTGAAGCCAATTCTCGTACTGCTTTCTAAACGTTTCACTGTTTCGGTGTGATTTCTTCCATCTCTGTTCAGCAGCTCGTGTGAATCTTTGCCAAAAGCCTAGTCGAGTTGCCATTGCCCCGAGTAGCACTTCGTGATTAAATGCAGTGTTTTCGCTCTTGAGAATAACTATCAAGTCTATCCATCTATTTATTGCTGCTTTTTGACCATTAAAATTACTGAAGTGATTTGCAATTGTATGTTAATTATCTGCGGCTCATTAGGGAGTTCCAAAAAATGCTCTGGCAAAATCTAACTCTATTGAAAATCTTGTATTTAGAACTAATTCTCAGCAGTATAATTATAATTCGTGACCGTATCCATACTCTGAAATATCACTTATTTAGGCTCAATAGTTAATTAATACACGGTATTTTGACGAGTTCTCGTTAAAATTTCATTCGAAATACATGTTTATTCCAACCATTTATTTTAAATGATGATCTAAGAGAGAAAGAAAGGTTTTGTATGGTTATAATTAACTAGGTGTATAATTCTTGTTCAGTGCTAAGTTCTAATTTGCTTTTTATCTAAACTTATCTGCTAAAGAATTGTATGCACCCTATGCATAGACGTAAAGAACATGCGTGAATCTTTTGGTACTTGTTGTTGTTGTACTGAATAAATTATTTATTATTTTTATTTGGTGCACTAATACAAAAATCGGTTTTATTGATTATAGAATCCTAACCCAAACATTTGCCCTACGTGACTTTAGTAACCTTGTGTCACTCAAAGCTTTGCCTACCCCTATGGGAGACAGGCATGACGGTATGTATGTACATTTTAAAAATGCAAATTTGTTATCATTCGTATTAAAACTTGTCACCGAAATTTTTTTTTTCGATGTTTTTTTAAAAAAAATTCGCAGTGTTTACCTTTACATGAAGTGTGTCAAAAAATCGCAAATAATTAGTCTACTATAACCGTCTGTAAGGATAGTACTTACGGGTTTCCTTGCGGTTCCAGAGATATAATGATTTTTCATATCAGCTCCATAGTAATACAGAACCGAATCTATTTCCAGCAAAAAAAAGACACTTTAAAATAAAAGTCCCTAAGCCTATGAAAGCCGATTTTGAGCCCACTGTGTGCTGGCGGCACAGCCGGTGGCGCATAGATGTGACCGCTGCCGCTGCCGCTGGTCCATTTTTCTGTATCCTTAGAACAAACACACTTATCAAACTCAAAATTAGGATCACAGTAGTACGGAAAGGTTGTGTAATTATTACGTAATAAAATCCATCTAAATTATAAACTCACTGGCAATAATTGTTGTATACTTATAAAGATTAAAGCAGGTATCAACCGAAAAACATTTTAATAAAGCATTTATCGTCCACACTACTTACACTACCCTACGAAGGTATTGTATTCATTATCATGCTTCTGTGTTGTACATACATACACTGTATAATATCATACAAAATGATTTAAAGAAATATACGCAAAGCAAAAAATTATAAATTATAGAATTTATCAGTGCGAACTGCCAAGATAAACGTGTGCCGATTCGAGTTTTATCTCCCGCACATAATTTTTATAATATCTTTTCTTTACTGACTTGCTAAGGTTAGGACCTCTCCTCTCTCGATCTCTTTATAAATTACATAAATATTATCATTTTATGTCACGTTGTTGATTATAATTGCATTTAATGATTGCGAGCAATACATAAAGCTACTTATGTATCTGTAACCCACCCACATAGGAAAAACCTAAAGTAAAAATTGTGAGATGTTTATGGTAGTCTGTACTTAATATCTGTTTCTTTTTCGTTTAGGATTGTAAACCAACCTTCTTCAAATGTTACTATACCAACAATTTCGTAAAAGTATTTTAAAAACTAAATTTGCCTTTTCTTACAAATGAACAGATAATATGTATCTTATTTATTCGCTTTATGTTGGCATCACGCCTGTCCCTTGT